AACTTATGACTGACACTGACCAATCAATGTAGAACCTCACATATATGCGCAACGGCTCGAGTTACCATACTTCATAGCAGTATACAAAAATCTAGTGCATAGAAAAATTTATATCGAAAACGACAAAGTAGTGTGAAAGAATAAACAATCGTAAGATAAAGGTTAGTGCGAATATTCATGCTCTAGAAAATGTCAGGGATTGAATACGTCTGCGACGTTGTCACCGATTTTCAGACATGTCACCAAGTCCTCAATCACTGATTTCTTTCATCTCGGCGACAGCAACCAGGCAGTCTACATCTCCCCACATGACTAACACCAACATTCAGATACTTCATCTTAATCTGGTCACCCTGAACCCTCTTCTAACATAATCAAACTTCCCCTAGCATCGCACGTCGAGGTAGGCGGTGGCTCGGCATACACAGTACATGTTTAAGCCATCTCAACCTTATCAATCAACTTGCCTGTCTTCCTTAGTACCCCCGAACTGATTTCAGCATTGCTTACACAGTGATTCGACCAAACACGGGCAATGCTACGAAGACATCTGTGATCAAAACCCTGCAGTCGCTTCATGTCTTCTACTTTTAACGGTCATGTCTCACACTCATACGATAGGATAGAACGGATTGCAGTGTAGTATACTCGTCTTTTGATGGATAGTCGGATATCTCACCAGTCGGCGCCTTCGGTGATCCGAGTTGACAAATACCAAATGGGCCTTCCGTATTCCAAGTGAGATTTCGTCACCAATCAATCCGTTCGGGCTGATGCAACTCCTCAGGTGGGTGAAATGTCAGATATATTCCACCACTTCACTCCCTATCATTTAACTCGAAGTATTTGCTGCATACCAGTTCTGCAGCATCATCCAACACTTCACAGGTGCTAGCAAGATGCATGTCAAACATTCGATTTCTGCCCAATGAGTCCACGTGATCCTGCATTTCGTCAGCGTCTTCACAACAAGCAGGACAATACCATCTTCAAACAGATGCTCTCCATTAAGGGAGTAGGTCAATCCCTGGGAAGTTACAGGTACTTACTTTTATGTCCATTAGTACGTTTATTACGAAGTTGAATAGGTACCGTAGCAATGAACATCTCCAGCGGAAACCAGTAGTTATCTTCAATTCGCATGACAACACTAAATCAGCCCTCACACGGCTGGGTGAGTTCGAGTAGAGGTTTGATTAGGGCTATGTACTTGCTCGGTACTCTCTTCACAGTCAGACTCTGTCACAACACGTCATGGTCGAAAGAGTCAATTGCCATCTTCAGGATCGTAAACATGAAAAGTGTTCGCCGCCAGTAGGTATGCCTATGTTCCGGAACCTGTCAGAGGGTAAATATGACCAATGCATACTCGTCCACGTCTGAAACCTACCTTTTTTTTACCGAGTTTGCTCTCCATCAGCCTCAGTTAGATGTCATATAACTATGGACCTTAGGATCTTGGACACAATATTAGTCAAGTTGATTCCCCTATAGCTGTCAGAAGAATTCTCCACCTTCATACACTGGGTTGATCAATGAACTAGACCAGTCTGACGGCACAACTTTTGATTCTCATACAATACTTAGTACCTCTGTCACTCTTGTCAGCAATTTGCTAGCTCCATCCGTTGGTTCATCCTGCTTTACATAGTTTCAGGCTCAATACAGCTTTCTCAACTTCAAGGAGAGTTGGAGGACAGATATCTAAGCCTCATTTAGCTTCAGGCTGGATGTTGGGTAACTAAAGCGTTGCTGAAGCCTGGTTGGACGGTGCTTCAAGGTGTTCTGCCTAACTGTTTTGCAACCTGTTCTCACAGGTTATCAGCGTCCTATCCTTTACAGTGCTGATTTCACTCACCATAGTCCTCTTCTTACCAATATGCTTAACAAGCTTACACAGTTGCTGAGTATTATCAAACGCTGATTCCTCCTCCACCTCACGCTTTAGCAACCACCACTGCTCTTGATAGCCGCGAAGAACCGTGATCAACCTACGCTTGAGTTGCTCTCGCTTTCTATAGTGGTCAGAGGCATCTGGAATCAGTCTTGGCGCACCAATCATTTTGGATGACGTCTCCGAAATCCATTGACGTTTGCTAACCTTCTGGTGTAGGTTGTCAATTGTCTTTACACCTGTTTCCATAGCCGACTTAGTATCACGCCAAACCAGGTTTATTCAGGATGGGCATTGCTGTCACCTTCAGACAAATGCTTAAATATCTATTCCCTAAATTTGGACGTGACGTTCTTATCTTCCAATCGATAATAGGGACGCTTTACTATCGCCTGTTTCTTGTGGTCAGTAAGCCGCAAACATACTGCAGCCCGTACCAGCGCGTGATCAGAGTCCGAACTAGTACTTTCAGAAATAGCAGCAATCCTCTGCAACGATGCCTAAAGCAATGTGATCTATATATGTCCATCGTTGGTTTGAAGTTTGGAGATTAAATTCTATCACCAGCTGAGGTCAATTTAATAAACATACTCAGGTCCTGTCTGTATACGTGTCTCACAAACAGCATACATTCATGGATAGAAACTACAGAGTTCTGCCAAGCAACGGTTTCTGTTCGATTTGTCACAGACTTGAAAGCTGTTAAATGAAACCAACGACTGGATCAAAGGAGACTAGGAATGAGGTTTCAATGGCTTCAATTGTTCGCAATAGTTGCAGAATGAGAGGTTGAAAGTGTAAAAGGTTTAATATTAGTACCAGGAGGTGAAGAAAAAGGAGTAGACAGAGTTAAGGAGGATAGGTTATGTTTAATTGGGTCTTGTGTACTACTGAAAGTGTGTGGATGGTTGACACGTTTAGATGCCCACACTGTGGAAGGCCATTTCTTCGTAAAGTGCCGGAAAGGGAAAAAGACGTAAGTGACTGCAAAGCCCATGGGACCTCTGCTTGAGGCCCGTCACAGGCGGATGTTGTTTTGAGGTTTGGTTGTTCTAACATCGGATAGAGAGAAGCAATACCGCCGGTACTGGAAGAGCGTGGGTTATGATGCAGTATGCTATATTCGGAGCCGACCTTTTCTAACCCCTTCCTTCCCATAGAAAAGGCAGCGTCAGCATAGCACTGATGGTTATTCAAGGGAAACACCTTACTGCTGTCACACCCCATCCAGCTAGCACCAGTAAGACTACGCCACCGTAGTGTAGTAATTTACACTTCAACGGTAACTGCTTTTCGTCTAACAACTATCCAACAGACATTTCTGGTATAGTAGGATCTCAACGGAACAGGGGGTTTGCCATCATAGCTCGCTGGGTCATTATGATGTCCAAACCCGACCACCACTTCGAGGTAGCAGCTATTGGTGCGGGAGCAACCTTGTACACTTTTAAATCTCTTTCACACAAATGTACTGATACGTAGCGACAAAAGGCAGCCAATAAAGTTGTTTTCAGATCATGATCAAATCATAATTTATGCATGCACTGATATGAGAACCTGATTGGAGAAATTCGATGTCATACAATAGATCCGATTGATCCGTTTACGGCTTCATTTTCTGAGATTTTTGTAAATACACATATATCATGTATTTGTCTAATAAAGTTTTGGTTGTTCTTGCAGTCACAGGTCGTCTTTGTCTTCTGTTTTTTCTGTGGCTCAGTGAAGCAGGAGGTACTGAGGGAGGTCAGTCGTAAAAGTATTCGGCTGAGGTGTTTATTGAGTCTCAATATTATTATACCCACGACCGTAATTCCACTCGGTTACAACATGCACATACTTAATTTACTAAAACGTTAGTCGAACTTGTATCTCCATCGGCAAGTGACGGTTGTTTCAATCTGTAGTGTTATTTCTACACGCAGTAAGAAATGGTAGGCTGGTGTTTAAGCTATTTTGCAAAATAATGAAGAATTTCAACTTCTGACTATAGCTTGTGCTTGGAAAAAAAAACAAATATTTTCTGACCACGTCTACACTTCTTCATGCGTCAAATGTTTTACCACTATTGAACTTGTATTCTTGTTATCAATTCTAAAAGTGCCAGACCTACGTTTCTTTCAGTGATACTGGTAGTATAAAGTATATACGATTATGGTTTATGACTTTAGGTAATTTCAGTCTGCTTCAGCACAGCTCTCAATTCGAAAGCTAATCTGTTCCCCATTTTCTCAAAAGATAACCGGTTATCCATAGTCTACAGCCAATACATAAGCATTGGCATCAAAGTACTCTACGTATCAGTTGATAAACGTATCAATAAATCATTTAGAGTAAATAAATACACGATTTGGAACAATGGAAGTGAATCAAATCATTGACGAAAACAGTGTTGTTACTGACAAACTAACACAGAAACTTTCACAGAAGTGCATAGCTGCAAATTGCTACACCACAGGAAGAGGAAGCGAATAAATAAAAAAAGTGACATCGAAATAAATGAAGAGGAGAACAGGTGAAAGAAAATAAATGATTAAATATTAACGATTTCCTGGGATAAGTGATTTCGATGTAACTTACCAACAGTTTCCAAGAAGTGATTCATAACATTTTAAAAATTATCAGCAGGTGACCTACGCTTTCCTATACGAATGAGATAAGCAAACGGGTAAATTTCACGAAGCTCTGTTTCGTCTTTCAACTCAATCCTACCTCACTTAACATGGAGCATTGTGATAGCTGGAGGCTGAACAGGAGGAATACATTCAGCAATATGATGATGAATTACTCACAATATTCAATATGATTGATATAGTTATGTTATTCAGATAGTGTCCATCAAAAGCTTAAAGTCTAACCGCATAAATACACCAACTTAGCAGCATGATATTTTCTTTATATGCATGCACACACGCATATGTGTAATAAAGTCTTATACAACAAAATATTTATAGGACCATATAAATCAACTAGTGGATATTTGAACTGACGAAGAATTTACTGGAAAAATATTACTTATTCAAACTGACATTTCTGAAGCGAAAGAAATTTCTTTCAAAAAGACCAAAAAAAGTTTCGAAAAGAAGAAAACACTCCAGAGACTTACATTCTCAACTGAAGATTGTGATGATAATGACAGGTAGAAGTAGGTGAAAAACGCAGCCAACGGTGAAGCCAGTGAGAATGCGATCATGTGCAATCGAATTCGATTACGTGGAAACCCTTCATGCAGTAGAAAACAGGAAAGACCGAAAGCTGCTGGTATCTTGAGTAGTAGGTAGTTTGAAATACATAAAAAATGTATACAAAATTAGAAAAAAAAGAATAAAGTGAACAGTACCAATAGATGGGCTTACTTATCGTTAAAATAGAATAATAGGCTTACCAAGGCAAAACAGTTCATAAGATAGAAAAATTAATGCCTCAAATGAGTAGTACAGGATTGCCCGAAGTGACGTAGATGTATCCATGCAATTACGACAAAATTTGTTAACTTCTGCATTACGCTGCTGTTTCATAATTTTTTTTACAACATCTAGTCATTATTCACTTATTCTCATCTTCCTAAATTTGCTGACTTATTCTCCTGATTACTCTGAAATAAATTGTGGGATGGCATATATTATTTGATGTCCTATGCCATTTATGTCCATCAGCAGACAATTGGACAAAACTTACTAGATGATAGACTCACAAATTCATCACTAATTGAGGAATGTATGAATATAACTTTATGATAGTATGGTACAAAATGAGGCACTCTCATGTCTAATGACATTAACATCTACACTTCACAGTCACACGGTAGGACACAGTAATGTGCTGGGGAAAGTACACATGACCATTACAATCCAAAAAGAAGTCACGACAATACCATAAATGGCGTAAATAGACGACATAAAATCTAAGAGCCTATTGTAAGAACGCAGAGATTATTTCGGTCACTGATACACTAAGGGTCATCTGACATCCCAGGCAAACGAAGCCGAAAAAAACACTTAACCGCTTCATTTTTATTGTTAGACATAGCGATAATGAAGACCACATCGAAGCCAAAACTTGTAGTGAGGTGATGACAAAATTACATCGAGCATAACGTAACGTGGACTCAGGGTGTCCAGAATAGTGCGAACTGTTAACGATAACACTGCTAAGAATCCTCGAAAACTGTATGTAAATACCTCTAGTACTGGCTCATCTGAACGATTGCCCTTCTTAGTTATAGGTTACTTATAAAGTTGAATTCAGCCAGAGTTGGCCAGCCTATCTTAATATCTTATTCAGAATCCGATTACGTACAGCACAAGGGAACAGTAGCTGAAGGTAAGTTGAACAGTTCTCGACCTGTTCCGCTCATCTCCCTGAATTGATAGTCCGTCGCAGACCCACCTGTCTCCCCCATCACCTCACTGACCGTTCACATTTTGTTCCAGTTTCCTTGATAATTCTGAAGAGCTCTCTACTTACTGTTGCCTATCACCATTGCCTTTTGCACCTCATCTACCTTCACCATGCACCTTGCTCACGGTCGTCCAGCTCATATTTGAGTTGCCTCCATTCTTCATTGTTCTTGGAGCCTACAGGAATGCGTTCACGTGTGTCCATTATTATTTCAGAAGAGGCTGTTGGGATCCAGTGACCCTGACCTCTTATCTCTTTCCCACAATCAGTAACGGTTTTTGAGACTGCTCTCACTGCAGACTAGAGACAGTGCCAGCCTCCTTTAGAATGAGTGACACTATCTTGTTGCAATGTGTCGAACCAGTTCCTCACTCAACTAGCCTTGGTATTCTCATCAACCAGCTGCACCCATAACAGTCTTGTTACTGTAGTTTCTCTACGTTCACGTAGGCGTAGACACTAGTGTGCTCGAATCAACGCGTGATCACTGTCTAAGCACGTGTTCCAGAAGGAGTGACGATCTTCCACCAACCCTGTCCAGCAATGACGAACAGTCACATGGCATCTGTGCTTCTACGCCATCGACTTGAGATTGGTGGACGAAATGTCACATAAGGTCTGCTCTATGTCTGATGTTCACGGTGGTCAGAAATAGGTAGTTATTTGAGTACAGTTGTAGCGCGTGTAGGCTGTCATCCTTTGATTAGACCGAGATTCCAAAAGTGCCACCTTAGTGCTTTTCTGCCTGAATTAGCCTACATACACACTTGTGCACTGAAATCACCTGCGACGACAACCACGTCTAATTGTTTGGCTTACAGTAGGAGGCTAGACAGTTTTCGGTGAAACTTTTTTTTATTTTATCCGAGATGGAGTCAGGTGCGCAAGCTGTGGTTCATTAACCTAGGCAGTTGGTTTTCAACCGGTAGGTCAAGGGGTTCAACCTAGTTGTACCTACCTAGGTTTGGAAAACCAGGTGATATCATCAGCCGAGGAAACCGTTAGGGGCCTAATGTCGGCTGGTATCAGGTAGTGGCAATGGAAGTGACAAAAGTGAGGGAAGTTGGTTGTGTTTGGTATTCTGTTGAAAGCGTGCAGGCGGCTGGTACTTTGTGGCCCCGTGAAATTAATTTCTGCTAGGTAACTGGGAGAGGAAAAGGATTACTTTTTAGTGACCATAGAGCTCATGGGACATCTGCTTGTGCCAGTCACACAACCTTTTACAGTGTTTTGGATCGAGGTTTAATTGAGCCAGCACCAGACGAGAAAAATCGATACCATCGGCACCGGAAGACCGTAAGGCAAAAAACAGCAATCTATTTTCTCGGTCAACCTTTTTTAATCCCTATTCCCACAAGAATAACAGCAGCGTCCGTGGGAAATGGCTTACTACTGTCACACACCGCTAAGCTATCAGTACAACTTCGCAATCGGAACCCCATTATAGAATATCAGTTCACACTATAACAGTAACTGCTTGTCTTAACACTATCCAACAGTCCTATGTGGCACAGTAGGACCTGAAGGAAGAAGCTCTTCAGTTAAGCTAGCTGTTTGGGTCATCATGATACGCGAGGGACATTACCACCTCAGGGGTAGCAGCTATCGGCCAGGTAATGAAAGAGAAATTTGTTGTATGCAGTAAAATGCAATGCTTGAGTGGTAGAGGTCACTGCACTACCCATCGTTCCTCTTAGGTGCAGGTGGATAATCTTGGGCATGTGATTGCTAAGGATGAAGACTGTGTATGGACAGTATTTTATTTTCCTAAATACCTGGATGGTGCATTGAATATTGGCCAGTAAAAACAGGATCAAAAACCGCTTAAATCAAGTGAACGCAGAAATTATGTCGGAAACTGCAACAGAACGCCTAGAAGCCGAGTAAATACAGAAATAACAATCAGTTTATTAGTAAATATGGCAACATGACTTGTGTATGCCGTCTTCAGAAATATTCACTTTTAGAAAAATTCGAAATTGATGAAGTAAATCAATAATCAATTATGGAAGAAATCAATGAATAACACAGGATTATATGAAGAAAAACTATTAACTTGGAATGACCTGCAACCCAGTTTAAGTAAGCAACATCAATTATATATATATATATGCTATTTTTTTTTTAAAAATAACACGTGTCAAGTGAATATTTTTAAAGTATTACACTACTTACTTTATGTAAAATAATCGCCAAAAATAAAATAATTTCCAACTGTATCTGATTCAAAGCAAATGCTGAGCCGACAGCCAATCCATCAGCTAATGAATGTATAACCAAACCACAGGTAACAACAAATCCCTTGTGATTGGAAGACTGAGTTGAGCCAATCGTTGAATGATTGTTAATTGTATCATTAGTCAGATTGCTAGTGGTGGTAGTGGTAGCGGTTGCAGCAGCAGTATTGGCAGTACTTTTCCCAACATTACTAGAGGTATTAGTACCGGTAACAAGCGAAGTTTTATCAATCAACGGGATGTACATCACAGAACGACATAATTTCCTCAATCCAAATAATATCCGTTGGGAGCAGGTTAATTCCAATATCGTGTAACTCATTTGATCAATGAGTAACATGAATAAATAACCTAATAGTAAGGCTATACCAACTCTTTGATGAATATTACTATTATTGTTATTTTCATGCTCACTATTGATATGAGGTAAAGAATCGTGATGTGAATTGTGTTTTCCAATTTCTTCATTTTGATTTTTACTTTGATCGATGTTATTCACTGGTAAGGGAAGGTTCGCATTAGCCAGTGCTACTGAGTCTGCAGCAGTCAACTTCTGTAGATTAAAGGATGAAAAGTAGCAAAAAATAAAGACTTTAACTTTGGGTTACCTAAATAGTGGAGCGGCAACCATAAGAGTACTTACACTCTCGCTGTAAGCCGCATATGTCGCTTGACAGCGAGTGAACCTGTTCAACTACCAAACTAAAAACGACTAGGAACAAGGCATGGCAGTGATCTATGAAGCTGATGACAGTTAGTATGGATGTATAGAGGAATGATGGGGAAAATAAATTAAAATCGAATAAAGTATCACAGCTGTATTCACAATCTACCTCCTTGCAAATTTTTAATATCCCATTAGTCCTGAATAAATTGTGATTAAAATATGATGAAGAGGATTCAGGTGATCAGTTTCTGATGGTATATGAGCTCTTTTTACGGATGCGCCGATAGGTCCCTAGTTCGAGTTCATACAGGAACACCAATCACTACGGTACAGGTACATTCAATTGACAAAACCCAGTAGGATGAAACCCATAATATAGATTTCGGTACGTAACCTTGTTTCCGCTCCATTAATGTCATTTCTCTTACTTACTTAGTTGTATGTACCCACATGTTGAAAACCTTTATCTTTGGAGTAGGAAAATGTGGTAATTTGAACCGAAAAACCTTTATGAGAATCAATGTAGATGTAATAATAATAATAATAATAATAATAATAATAATAATAATAATAATAATAATAATAATAATAATAATAATAATAATAATGGAGATCAACCCGCTACAAATTTTACTACTAGATTACGAGCAACACTAACTATGTGGTAGCTTATGATACTATCTGACTGTACGACCCGAAGCAGGTAAACAGTGGTTCAAACCTGAGAATCATCACTTAAAAACCCAGTTCCTAAGGCAATGAGCACATGAGCTTGTTTGTGTCTTTGTAGATGATCAGATCTTGTTTGGCAGATATTAGCATAAACGTGTGAGCAAAAGGTTAAAGGTTGAATGCTTATAATGATGAGTTACGACGGTACAGTTTCCAGAACATTCTTAAAATTCACACGTTTCTTGACAGTATAAAGTTATGAATTGAGAAGGTAGATAACCGAAAACGGTAAGCTTTGTAGCGATATAATCTCGCTGCTCTTAATACATCATGTTTCTCCGTCTAAAAACTTTGCCAGTCGATAGTCTACTCTTACGGCTTTCTCCAAAGACAATGCATTATGTACATACCACTGAAATATAACCTTGTTAATAATGTAAATACGCCACTAGAAAGCGAAAATGATTAGACAGAAGTCAGAAATTAAAGTGTCGAATGCAGGGGAAGACTTAGTAAACAATACATTATTGATTCTTTCTCGGATTGAATTCAATACATCCGGTTTTTATAGCAGGTATATTCATCATCATCATCATTATCAACATAGGACCAGGCATTACTGCGTAACGGTCCGAGTTGCCACACCTCATATCAGCACATCAAGTAAAAAGGTAGTGAGGTGAAGGATGAAGATAAGTGAATGCAGTCAAAAGAAATATAAAGTATGAGAAGAAAGGAAAGAGGAGTGACAAAATAGTGAGATTCGGTATAGCGTTGTTAAGATGAGGATAATGTGTGTATACATCTGCGCCACTGACTTCGGTTCTGAGCCATATCACCTAGGGTCTCCAACCACTGGTTCCTCTTGTCCCGTGGACCCCAACCACCTAGTCTGCATCGTCCTACATGGCTTAAACCAACAGTCAGAGACTTCATACATTGGTGCCATGTTTTAGTCTGGCCACCTCGGGCCTTTTTCCAGCCTGAACCCACCTCAGCCAACATTGTGTGACGAGGCAATCGGTGACTAGGCATACGTAGTACGTGTCCCAACCATCTCAGTCGATGAAGGTTCACAACCTCGTCGACTGACTTACCTCTTCTCCCTAAAACTCTACACCTAACTTCTGCATTACTCACATGGTGACACCACGGAATACGTCCTATACTACGAAGGCAACGGTGGTCAAATACCTGTAACCTTCTCATGTCTTCCACTTTCAATGGCCATGTTTCACAGCCATACAGTAGAACAGAGCGGACTGCTGTGCAGTACACGCGACCCTTAATAGACAAACGAATATCACGGCGGCGCCATAGGTGGCGCAAATTGGCAAAAGCCAATCGAGCCTTTTGTATCCGTGCAGAAATCTCATCGGCAACTAACCCACCGGGTTGATCCTACTTCCCAGGTAAGTGAAGTGGTCAACACACTCAACCACTTCACTCTCTATTGTTAACCGCGGTACCGCTGAAGACCAGTCCTGGAGCAAAAATTTGCATTTGGGTGGTGAAAATCGCATCCCAAACATTCTCAAATTCCCACTCAAAGTGTTCAGAAGACTCTGCATCTTGTCAGCGTCTTCACCTAACAGGACTATGTCATCTGCATATTCTAGATCTAAGGAAAATTCACCTGTGATCCGGTCAACGTCTTTGTAATTAGGTGACGAGAGGGAAACCTCCATAAGAATATCTATGATAAAATTAAATAAGAATGGGGATAGTGGGCATCCTTGACGGACACCACTTGATGAGTATAGCTCCCTGGACAACTCACCATAGGCTCTAACATGCCCACAAGTGTTCGAGTAGAGAGCTTTCAATAAGGTGATGTACTTACTAGGCACGCCTTTCAGTGACAGACACTGCCATAAGACTTCTCGATCAACGGAGTCAAATGCCGCCTTCAGGTCGAGAAATACAGCTATTGTCGGGCGTCTGTAAGCATGCCTATGTTCCAGGACCTGGCGCAGTGTGAATATTTGGTCGATACATCCACGGCCAGGTCTAAAGCCTGCCTGGTTTTCTCGGGCTTGCTGTTCCCGAGCTCCACTCAGGCGTCGGAGAATTATAGAACTTAGGATCTTAGACACTATGTTTGTCAGGCTGATTCCTCTGTGGTTATCACAAGAGGACTTCTCGCCTTTCTTGAAGACTGGGATGATCAGTGACTTAGACCAGTCGGAGGGGATCGTATTTGATTCCCATATACTGGCTAACACTTCCGTTAGCCTGACTAAGAGAACTCTACCACCATTCTTGTATACCTCAGCAGGTAGTCCGTCTGGTCCTGCTGCCCTTCCCCGTTTCAGGCTACCTACCGCTTTCTCAACTTCTTCTAGTGTTGGGGGACCTGTCTCTATGTCCCATTCAGGGTCCGACTGGATAGCGGGCAGCGCAATGGTGGCTGGAGGCCAGTTAAACTGTTCCTCAAAGTGTTCTGCCCATCGTCCCAGTCGCCTTCCCTGCGAGTGAATCGCCGATCCGTCCTTCTCCGCTATAACCTCACTAACTGTTGTTGACCATTTCCCCCCAGTCTCCTTAATAAGTCTAAATAACTGTCTACTGTTACCGATCGCCGCTGCCTTTTCCATCTCTTTAGCCTTTGCTGCCCACCACTGTTCACGATCGTTGCGCAGACTTTTCGTCAGTTTATTTTTAAGTTGCGCTCGCTCTTCATTGTACTCAGAGCCTGCAGGGATGCATTCACGTGCATCCATTAGTTTGGAAGAAGCTGCTGATATCCACTGGCTCTTTTTAGCCATTATCTTGGAGTCGGCTACAGTCTCCAGTGCTGCTTTTACAGTAGACTGAAGATGGCACCAAGCTTCTTCTGGATGAGTGACAGTCTTTTGTTCCGATAACTGCCTAGCCAACTTCTCACTGAACACGGCTTTGGTGTTTTCGTTGTCCAGCAGAACTCGTAGTGGTTTTGTTGCCAAATTTTTTCTACGTCCATTGAGACGCAGGCATATACGTGCTCGGACCAACGCATGATCGCTGTCCAAACACGTACTCCAGAAGGAGCGGCAGTCTTCCACCGATCCTCTCCAGCGATGACTAATAGCAATGTGGTCTATCTGTGTCCATCGCTGAGTCGAGCTCGGTGGACGCCAGGTCAGACAGTGCCTTTCTTTATGTCTGAAATTTGTGCTGGCTAAAAATAGGCGGTTATCTGAGCATAGTTGTAATAGGCGATCACCGTTATCTGTACGTTCAGCTGGGATTCCGAAAGTGCCACCTAAGTGCCTTTCTGCCTCACTCAGTCTACCCACCTGTGCGTTGAGGTCACCTGCAACAACCACTACGTCCGAACGTTTGGCTTTCGAGAGGAGGTTAGACAGTTTATGGTAGAACTCGTCCTTCACTTCATCCGAACTACAGTCAGTGGGTGCGTAAGCAGAGATTACAAAGAGACAACGGCGAGTCTCACTATTCCTTTTAGTTCTCACTGTGCCGTTCAGCCTCATAGCGCAGAGGCGACTATCAACTGGGATCCAGTCTAGTAGTGAGTTTTCTGCCCTGGTGCTTAATGCTATACCTACACCTGCAAGACCACGAGAGCTAGCTATCGAATCTCCAGAAACTCGAAGGGTGAATTTTGCAGATTCACCAGATTGGTCAGGAGAGGTCAGGTGAATAACCACACTTGGGTCCTGTATGCGTGTCTCACAAACACAGCACACATCCATGCCTCGAGTTGCTAGAGTCTTTGCCAACGAAGCCTGTTGGCCAATTTGACGGAGGGTGCGGACATTGAAGGCTCCAATATGTAATTTGGAGCGTGGTTTAAGGAGACCAGGGACTGTTCTGTGGACTCAGATCGTTGTCGAAGGCTGCAGAGGTAGGAGAAATTGAAGATGATGCAGCATCATTAATTAAGAGACGTGAAGGAAGATTAGAAGGTAATGATGGAGGAGGAGGATAGCAGTCAGAAGAAACTTGGGTGCTGACAGAGTTGTGAGGGCGGTTGACACTTCCCGGCTGCCCACACCGTGGAAGGCTATTTCTTCTTAAGGTACCTGAAAGAGATTTGTGTGACCGCAGAGCCCATCGGACATCTGCTTGAGGCCTGTCACACCCAGCCTTTTGAGTATGATTATTTTGAATTTTTGTATTTTTGGGGCCGGATGAGCGAAAGGAAACGACAAGTGAACCAACACCGCCGGCCCGGCAGACCGTGGGGCGTGGTGGAGTGTGTTATTTTTGGGGCCGACCTTTTCTAACCCCCCCTTCCACTGAGAAGGCAGCATCAGCTTGGCACTGCTGGTCATCCAAGGGAAACACCTTACTGCTGTCACACCCCATCCAGCTAGCAGCAGTACGACTTCGCCCTCAGACCCCCATCATAGTGTAGCAATTTACACTATGACGGTAACTGCTTTTCGTCTAACCACTACCCAACAGACCTTTCTGGTATGGTAGGACCTCGAGGGAACAAGCGTTCCACCAGCATAGCTCGTTGGGTCATTGTGATATGCAAGCCCGACCACCACGTCAAGGTAGCAGCTATCGGTCGGGTAGCAGGTATATTGCTGTAGTACAGTCATAGAGTACCCAATTAAGACCTGACAAAACTGTAAAACGATTAAAGCCGCCATTCCTCAAATCAGCGCACATAGATAGAAGGCACCGAGATGAGAGATCCGGGATGGTAAGGTGGATATAGATTACATGTGAATAGATTCGTGCAACAAAGATCGATTCTGAGTCATATCACATAGTCTCCAACCATCCATTTTTGTTGTAATCCAAAAAAAGAAGAACAGGGAGTCCTTTTCACCGTACACCGATAAGACAAACAGACTGAGAATTAATGGACTAACGCCGTGGATAAATATGACTGACTCCAAAGTTTTAACAACGTAATGCGATATGTCGGTGAAATCTAAGTGAGTCGCTTGCATCCATTTAGAGATTTCAACAGCCACTAACTCACTAGGGCAGCCTATTTTTCTTGGGTGTGCTGTTCTCAAACTCTACAAAGGCCTTTAACGATTATAAAACCTAGAATCTCAGACACTATTTTCGTCAGACTGATTCCTGAGAGGTTATCGCAAGAGGACTTCTCGCCTTTCTTGAAGACCGGGATAATCAGGGACTGAGACCAGTCAGAGGGGATCACATTTGACTTACATACATTAGCTAACACTTTAGTTAACTTGACTAAAAACATTTTACCACCGTCCTGATATACCTCAGGAACTAGTTCGTCCAGTCCTGCTGCCCTTCTACGTTTAAAGCTACCTACTGCTTTTCTGACTTCCGCAAGTGTTAGGGTGTCTGTCTCAATGTTCCATCCAAGATCTGACTGGTTAGCGAGCAACACAATAGTAGCTGGAATCCAGTTGAACTGTTTTAAGAATTATTCTGCCCATCGTTCTAGTCGTCTCCCCTGAGAGTGAATCACAGACCCATTCTTCACCGCTACTTAAGCATTCAACTACAAGCCACCTTTTAGTCACAGATTTGAATCACATTTCACCTTTCTTCACCTTGATCATCATAAAACATCATTAACCCTCCTGACATAAGTGTCATTTATAAGTTATTGCAAAAAACTTATTTTGCTAGCACATCATGCTAAGACAACATGCCAAGACAATTCTATGCAAACTACAGGCGTTTCAAATGTTCAAATTTCAATGGGTAGTAAGAGAATACAACAGTACCACTGGAGGATTTAACTGCACGAACACATTCCAAACAGGAGCTAGTGATCATATGTAGTTCAAAAAGATATAACTAAAAAAAAATTGAAGCTGCTGAAATTATATCCTCTATCAGTACGAATTGACTTTAACACAACATAGCCAGGTTTATGACAGATCACACAACCAAGAAGCAACATCAGTAAAAGTGCCAAATATATAGTCGTAAACAGCATTACATCAAAGCGATATCGTTTGAACAGCCTGTTCCGCACAAAATAATTATTAAATACACATGGTCCTATAGTTTATCCAAACAGAAAAATACAGTCTCTTCAAAAAACAACTTGGTTTCAGAAAAGCATTCAGTACAATGCATGATATTCAGGTGAGTAGTTGAATAACAGCAAGGTGACTAAAGATAGATATATCACATATTATGATGTGATCTAGTGAATTAAAGAGAAGTAGATGCCGACGAGCTTATGTGCTTCAAATTCCATCTTTAACTGGGTTTTGTACTTATTAAGATTAGGAGCACTGAAAAAACATTAACTCAAAAACCAAATGCATTTTCATGCACTAGTTCATGAGTCGACTTCACTTTGTAAGGGCTTACGATATCACTGGACTACTTCATTAACAGCAAAAAAGTAGGTCTTTATTCCCTGGATAGTTACTATTCAATAGTAATTCATTTTTAATAGAACGACTTTGATTGGGATAGTCAGCACTTCCATTTTGTAACTCAGGTGGTCAAAAGTAAGAGCGGTAACGTTCGATACACGATTTTTTAGGCGTCAAACATCAACATAGTGCATACTGACACTTAATCATGTAATAGACTGTGAATTTTATACGAGGATGATTGGACAAAGAAATTAAACACATGTCTTCGGATTTATTTATACATCCTTGATATTTTAATTTTGATCATTTGCCATATGAAACTTGAACCAAACTTCTATGTGAAAAGTTGGAATTATTTCATTTCAAATATGCTGTGACTTACACAAATACAAACTATATCTAGTGTCAACCTTTTACTCAGCGCCCAGTATTTGCGATACTATTCGGTCAAATCTTGATCATAGTTCATATAAAATTTATTGTAATTGAGATCATGTAAATGAAACAACAACAAGATACTTACGCGTGAACCAGGACTGTTTTGGTGGTTTTGGTCATTTCCATCACGAATTCCATGATGGTAACTATGAGAATGGTAGATAGCTGCAACACCTTCGGGAATAACAACAACCAATGCAGCACCCAAAAGTAGACCAGCACTAAAAACAGTTAGTATACGAACTTTGGACTAAAAAAGTGGAATGAACAAAAAAAGTACAAGGCAACGACTCATGAAATGAATGTATGCTTAAATCGAGTTCAATATAACTTCAAAGAGACAGTAAATAAGTATTCAGTGTACGGTTCAATGGGTGAAAATAATTGAGAAAAAATTAATCAAACTGCTATATACTAATCACACTTCTCTGATCAGTTTTACTTAGTGGACTACATTTTATGTTTACATTTTATTTAATTAATCACTAAGACAAAATGATAGCCTGAAAAGAAGTGGAAATCAGACGAATTGTAAATATAATGACTAGATCAAAGCTGTCAAAAGTGAGTCATCAGTAGTAAAAAAAAAACTCGATTAACCACAAGTGCAGAGACAGTTCCTATATATTTTTAAGCATTTCCATCACGATCAAAGCATAAATACTAAAATTGTCTCATACTCATGTTTTCCCGCAAAGACACTCCCATTTCTTGTTTGTTCCTTCAGGTGCGGTAAACGAAATGCAAAGCATGAAATACTACAAATCTCTACCATGATCCTAAGTTGCCGGTGAGAAACGATTATTAATATTCTTAGATAAAAGATAAAGTACCACGCATTACTCAGCTAGTGTATAAAGAAATATATAACTCGGGAGTATTATTCATAACAATAATTGTAATAACGACAAGAAATAAGGAAGAAGCCTATTTGACTGTTTTAAGAAACAAAGGCAGCACACATCAAAAACCTCAAAGAGAAATGTAACAGAAGTACAACGGACAGATGATGAGATTTCTTCGGAAATCAGCACATATGCATAACAGTTCACTATATATGCGGATGGTGACCAACGAATATTGGTTAGATTGACTCAAGTATTAGCTAGTGAGTGATAGTCAGATATGATCTCTGACTGCTCTCAATCAGATTGTCCTAGTCTTCAAGAAAGTAAAGAAATCGTTCTGTGATAGCCACAGGGCGACCAGTCTGACGAACACTGTTTCTAATATCCTGGACTTTATAGTCATTCAATGCCTCATTTAAGTTCAAAAACAAGTAGACGAAAAATCCCAGACCTGGTCGTGAGTGTTTCGAACAGACCCTCACCTCCACCTGACACTATGTATCTGGAACAGATGGTGTTATTTCAGTCTATCGATCAAGAGGTCTTATTACAATGCATCTCATTACAAAGACTACCAGGTAAGTACACCACCCTGTTGATGACTCTGTCCGAACAACCGTGGGTGTTACAACCTATGATGACGCATCAGGCGCGTTGTGTATATTGAGTGGTGTCCGTCAAGAATGTGCACTCCATTCATTCTCGTTTAATTTCGAAATAGACGTGATTCTGCAGGTTTCTCTCCTCTTGTCTGACTTTAGAGGGATTGACGTTGTCACAGAAGACTCCTTATTACGTAGGTATTAGTCTTGTTAGGTGATGTTGATCGGATTTGAGAACGTCTGGGATGCATTTCTCATCTTGTAATTCCAACTTCTGTTCTAGGACTAGTTTTTTTCAGTGTCTTTTCTAACAATCAGGAATTGAGTAATTGAGCGCATTGACAATTTCGGATATCTAGGAGACGTGATTAGTATTAGTGGATCAGTGGCTGAGGGAAACTCTTCACTGTCATAAATGAACTCGTTTACCTTATGCCAAGTAAAATCTAACAGCCAACTGTGATAAAAGAATGCCTATTAGGATCCAAGTAGTTAGCAGCATTTCACTGTTCTACCGTGAGGTTGTGAAGCATGACGACTGACTGTGGACAACATGAGAAGACATTTTGTTCAACAATCGTTCCCTCCGTAGTACTGAACATGTTCCATAGTACAACCAAATCAGTAACGCAGAAGTTAGACGCACAGCTTTAGATAAACAAGCTATGTCAGTTGGTGAGATTGCGGAGCTTTATCAGCTAGAATGGCTGGGTTACATGTAAGCATGCCTGGTTACTGCGTACCGCAAAGCATAGTGTTAGCTGAAGTAGGTCCATGCTTGAAAAATCTTAGAGGTGCCAAGACTAAAACATGGTATCAGTCCATGAAGTTTCTGACTGTTATTCCTAGCCGTGTGGGAAAATTAGACTTCCAACTAGGGACTGGCGTGGCAAATGCGATCAGTGGTCAAAGACACCAGTGATATGGCTCAGAATCAATTTCAATGGTGCAAGTGCATCTACACCTTATCTTCATTTTAATCGCCACGTCGAATTCGCTTGCTTCTATGTTTACGTCCTCTCCTTTGGGGCTCTTCACCACTTAAGATGATTTTTTTTTAATTTACCTATCTTCTATCTGAATGCTTTTTACTTTGACGTGCTGATATTATCATCATCATCATCAATATCAACATTGGACCAGGCATTACTGCGTAACGGTCTGAGTTGCCACACCTCATATCACTACATCAAGATAAGAGAATGCAGTCAAAAGAAATATAAAGTACGAGAAGAAGGGAAAGAGGAGTGACAAAATGGTGAGATTCGGTATAGTGTAGTTAAGATGAGGATAATGTGTGTATACATCTGCACCACTGACATCGGTTCTGAGCCACATCATCTAGAGTCTCCAACCATTGGTTCCTCTTGTCCCGCCAACCCCAACCACCTAGTCTACATAGCCACACATGGCTTAAACCAACAGCCAAAGACTTTATACATTGGCGCCATGTTTTAGTCTGGCCACTTCGAGCCTTTTTCCAGCCTGGAACCACCTCAGTCAACATTGTGTGAAGAGGCAGTCGGCGACTAGGCATATGTAATACGTGTCCCAACCATCTCAGTCGATGAAGGTTCATAACCTCATCAACAGATTTACCTCTGCTTCCTAAAACTTTACACCTAACGTCTGCGTTACTCACCTGGTGACACCACGGAATACGACCTATGCTACGAAGGCAGCGGTGGTCAAACACTTGAAGCTGTACTGATATGATATATCGTGACCTGAAGTTAGAGTCGTGACAGCATACGCTTACGTCGACTGACTGCCAGCAGACGTGCTATGTCTATAGTCACACTACAAAATGCTAACACAAAGTATCCTATAGAAAGCCTAAGTAGCAACTTGGTTTCCTTGATGCTTACTACTTCCAAGAATTACATCTGCAAATTTTAAAATTGGTATTTCTGCTGTTATTAAAACTGTATTTGTCCTTCTACTTCAGTCAGGGAAATAACTGGTGCACAGGAACTCTAAAAATAGCATATTCTACTTTTCAAATTTCTATCAAGACTACCTTCCTTTTATTACTTCACATCAGTTGTAACTCTCTCAGGGCTAAAGAACAGTTTTCCCTGTTTTTATATTTCCCGAATGATAATTAAGAGGTATATGAAACAAATACCTGTCTACACTTAATCCATCAGCAGTATTTCAATACTCCTGACAAGAAATTATCACGATTTTTATTCCTCCACTGCAAAAACAATAAATGTGGAGAAACTGCAGTATTCTACTGATACCCCGAGGGGCTTTACTATACTTTTGATAACGGAAACATAAGTAAATAACCAAAATTCAGCAGCTAGTGAATTCTCAGATAGAAAAATTCCGGAGAAATCTCCCCTAAGCAAACAAAGCATCATGGAAAATTATATAGATGTTTAACAAACGCTAAAACCACATGCAAAAAGTGCCTCAAGTTCATTGTAAGCGAACAAATCCTCCATTCTTGTTTAACGTTATTAGAACATGCAAAAACTAACTGCGATAATGGTCTGAAAATACACATACGTGAAGATATATAAAAATACGCAAGTATCCCGGGAAATTTGTGGGAAAGAAATATACCTAATTTCTATGAAACACTCACCAATGGTATTGAAGGAAATAGGTAGGCACCCAGCTACATAACAACCAACAAACAGAGCTACATTGATTAGAACCAGATACAACATTTGCAGCCAGGTGACGCAACATTCAATTGGTCTGATGCAACATCCAACATTCAATATCCAATACCTTTTCACGAGCTAGCTTAAATTGATTATTTCTTCACGCTCACTTTTAGGTCTTTTAGAACGGTTACAAGTTTCCGGTTGGTTTTTATTTCCAAGATTGATAGTGTGAGCGTAGAAAACCGATAGTTTTTATCTCTTGCCTCCAGTTCTTTAGGCTTGGTTCCAGCTGTTCGGTTCACCCCTGCAGTGGAAACCCTCCCTGCTTTCTTGCTTTTAGCTCCAGTGAGGAGGATTTTTTGCTGGTTAGTAAGTCGTAATTTGCAGAGTGATTGGGGAGCTACGGTTGCTGGGACGGTTGGGGGCTGTCGTGATTCCGGTCCGTATAAGCACCTGAAAGAGAATAGCAAGGTGGTGGTAAAGGGTGATAAAACGAAGGAAAAGAAAAAAGAAAGAAAAGGGCAGAAGAGAAACGAAAGAGCAAGAAAAGTGTGTGAAAGTTTTTTGAGGTGTAAAGATAGATAGCTTGGGCCTACTTCCTGGAAAGGGATTAGTAGCTAACAGGGGTGTATTAAGGGGCGAGATAGTGAGTGGTAGGTAGGAGGAAGGTGGGATGGGCTAGCGAGGTTGGCGACTCCCTGAGTACGTCCATGATAGACCATGCCAGGTGACACAACTATCTAACAGTTTCTCCAATGAGTCTATTGAGGAGGCTATCACAATGTGTCGTGGAAGGGCATTACATAAAGCACATACTCTCAGGGAGAAGAAATTGGACCTGAGTATGGTGGTGGCCCCCTGATGTGCCATCTTAATAGAGCCTCCTCGTAAAGACCGCTGTTTTGCAGGCAAAATTAATTTGTTCACATAGTTCGTCTGATGGGCGATCTTGTAGGCCATGATGAGGTCACTCCTCTTCGCACGATAACCAAAGGTAAATAAGTTTAGGTGTTTAAGTCTTTCAGGATATGTCTTTCCTCTTGGCCCCACAACTGAATTTGTTGCGGTGCTTTGTATTTTTTCAAGGAGATTAGAGTCTCTCTTAAGTGTTGGGGGGCCACCGTATTGAAGACTTCTAGATGCGGCCTCTGACTTTCAATGCTGTCAGTGAAGAGGAAGATAGGTAGGGTTGCTTCCTGGGATACTCCTGACGTCCATGGTCTCCACCCCCGATCTTATTCTATTTACTTTGGTATATAAATGCCTCCCTCCCATGTACTCCGTGAACCAAGAGAGTAGGGGTTCACTCATACTGGCTGACGTGATCTTGTGAAGCAGGACTGTGGGTTGGACGCTGTCAGATGCCTTAGCTAGGTAGAGAAGGACAACGTGTACCGGCTACCCTTTCTTGCTGCACTCCGTACTGTCTCCGGGAGATTCACATCTCTCTTCAGGTACGGTGGTGCAGTGACGTCGTGCACCTCTAATGAGGTCATATTTAGGTCTTGTACAGCCTCAGGAAGAGTTATAGAGTGAGGGCACCTGGTTGTCTGGTCATGAAGTATAGTACTGCCTGAGCTGTGAAGGCGTCTCCCAGGTAGTTGGAGCTGGTGACCAGCTTGTCAATCAGTATTGGTCCCAAGTCTTTCTCTGTGGTGGTGTGGGAAAGTTGTGTCCTACAGAGAGATCAGTCCACTTTCTGAGATTCGGGGGTGCAGGGAAACATATTTCGGCATTTGTCTAAATCAAATGTTAGTTCATTATTAAGATGGCGTGCGAGACTATGTCGAAGGCCTCGGCGAAATTTGATGAGAACACGTGAGCGTGCACTTGGAGATGCCAGTATATCGTCCAGTTATCACCGGCTGCCAGAAACTTTGAAGCACAGAACCTACACCTTCAGAAACCCTGTTGGGCATCACTCATTGCTGTCCTCTCTTCCATGTACTCCCTACGTGGTTGTGCACGAGGATCTCCATCACTTTTGACTGCACTGATGGAAGTGCTATGAGTCGGTAGCATTCCGGGTTCTGCCTGATTCCTGTTTTGAAGACGGGAGACAGGATATCAGATTTCCACTCTCGTGGAGGTTTGTGTTCGTCTGAGGATGCTGAAACAGATTACGGAGCAAACCCTTGAAGGCGCCCTGGCATTATTTCAACCCAGCCAGGCTGAATGTTGTCGCATCTCAGTGGTTCTCCTGCCAAGTGCTTTAATGGCTTTTCCAGGACAGTCGTAAGGGTTACCTTTATTCCATACAACTCTACTCCAAAGAATGGCGCCGAGGGTTGGTCGGGACGTTAGCAATTTCGGTTGGATAACGGCACGTTTATTTATGTGTTGAAGGTGGCGCTCAAGATTTCGGTGACCTCCAGCTCACAGAGGTTCTCTCCGTGCGGAATCTTCACGACGCAAGCTCCCCGGCTGGTGGGTTTTCCCTCGGCCATGTGTCAACATAGGTGTTGGGGGTCTGCCCTAAGCTTCTGAGCAAGACTTATCTGGCACGCCTACCTACCTTCCCTCATTTTGGTGTTGAATCGACTCCTTGGAGTCATATTTGTGCTGTGGTTTGACTCCTTTCTTGAGATCCTCCAGTTATGCCATACTTCCCTCTCAGCTTTCAAGATTCGTTCACTACCTTGCTTCATCCATCAGGTTGGCTTCTTTGGCATTGTTGTGACTGCCGTGACGTTTTCAGACGTAGCCACTTCAAACGATATCCCTTACCACTTCCCAGAATCCTCAGTCTTCAAACTTCGCTTTGAAAATCCAGCCAACTATGAGCTCTTGGGCAAGATTCTGTGTCCATTGAAAGTGAAATGTACAAGCTCATTTCTTTGGTTTTGAGAAACCCAGTGGGGTAGAGACAACCTGTTGTGGTTTTTCACCTCCCTAAATGTAATGCTTCAGTTTCAGTTTTCAGTTTTGCGGACAACAGAACGAGTGGGTTGTCCCGATCCTGGTTGCACAGATCTCTGTGTAATGCGATTCACTCTGAAAGCAGCCACCGGTGGCAGGTTCTAATAGTTGAACGTACTGTGAGGGAACCTGGGTTCTCCCCATAGTTTGTTAGATGGTGGTCTTTGGGCATTTTTGCTGCAATCTCTCAGATAGTTAGCCTTAGAAGTAAATGGAGTGAAGAGATCAACGCCCAAATCATTATCAGGATACGATACATCAATGAGAAATCCTCTCTTTCCCTATGAGATAAAGATGGGAAAGATTCACACTGCTCAGCCACTTTTCACCAGGGCAGTAGGAATGCCCTTTCAGAAACTTCGTACCATACTCTGGATCTGTTGCAGTTTCTGGCCGTTGCTGGAAGCAATAACTAGCTGGCTGTGTACAACGTTCTAGGTTATACGTAAGTGGACTGTAACAAGCTAAGTATAAATAAATCAACAAAGATTTTATTCCAAGTTATGAACCTAATATGAGAGAAACCGCTTTACAGGCATCATCAAACTGATGATTGTGGAGAAAACAAAAAGATTTGAGCGGTGTTGAATGGTACAGAAGGGGGGCATTACGCTCTATCATGATATCCAGTGTCTAAAAGTCATGAAAGGAGCAGGAAAATATCACTTTGCAGTACACACACATCGTTCTGAGTTTTGCTCATTCCTACTCACAATTCTTTTTTTCACACTATAATATCATCAAACGGCGCAATATTTGTTGTTTGCGTTAAGAGTAGTCGACGTGATTGACCCGCCTGCAGAGCCCAGTTCTTCGTCAGGTAAACGTCGATTTTAACAGCAGTTCTTATGGTCGTAACTTTGTTGACCAATAATAACCTACTTCAATGATTTCGGGAATAACTGAGTGGCCATACAATCATGTGGTCCAGGTGAATATCTAAGTTCAGACATTTCTCTCTCTTCAGGTGTTATCTCGCCCAGCAATTCAGATTGAGAATGCTGAAATAATTGTTGTGGTGCAAGTGATTAAAAACTTGACGAATCGTCGTTCAACAGTGGTGAATATTATACATATCTAAAACCTCACAGATTTCACATTTAAATATGCATTGTCAAGGAGATGCATTGGCCGTCAATTGACTCTTATTAGATGGATTCATACAAGACAAAGTACTGGTGAAATCTGTTGCATAGCATTACGATGGATTTGTTAATAATAATAATATATTTCGAATAATGAATTATACGAACACATGCCGCTTGTGCAGGCAACATCTGAACGTTATTTTTGTTTGTGAGTCTAAGAAAAGTAAGAAAGGATACACCTGTACATTGTACATAGTCTACCGGGATGCAGTTATTCAACTGTTACTGCTTAAAAATGTTAGATATGAACCCTTTCGCTATATAACAGTAGTGAATAATAACACAGGCTTTATTACCCAGTATGAGCTTTAAGCGGACACCTCTACACTTCAATTAATGAGTCGCATAATCAGTAAGCGTACATAGGATATCAAACGCCGAACAATAGTCAGGCTTAAAAAGTGCAAATAGTCAATAAGTTATTGCTGTTCGTAGAGAGCACGTAAAACTAGATTTAAATCATGGTGTGGACCGATGGGAAAGCTTGGAACCAGTGGCACTCGGTTTCTTGCGGCATGCAGTGATTGTTTGGTTCGGTGCCATTGCCGTTAGGCAAAGAAATCTCTCGGATTTGGTTGTTCATCCAGATTTCCTCTGTATTTGTGACGAACGAGAAATCGGAGACCAGTTATTGCGCTTGAGGCTTCGTGCCTGATAACATTTAGGGTACTGGTAGGCAGGTGAGTTGGTTGCAAAACTGTTCAAGAAACAGGTAATCAGGGGCACTCCGGTTGAACAATTCTAACATCAGTTTCCAATATTAGGTACGAAGTAGGATTTTCAGTAAAATGATACTTTTTGATCAAATTGATGCTAAGGACTTACTTATCAGGCCGATATTGAAAAAAGAGAAATGAAAGTTCAAGGGGAAACTGGATAATAGAATACAACGCAAGACAAATTGGGAGGACAGAAAATCTCGTCCTTTTAGAGTCATTCGAACTATATGTAAACTCTAATTTATACAAATAAGAATAACTCTTCTGCTTTTCTGACATGAAGTTCACATGAGCTA